TTTAATAAAAAAATTATAGCACAATACAAACAGTGGAATATTATATGTCGTAGATTTACAGTATATCAAATTTTATCAATTATCATATGACAATCAAGTAATTTTTAACAATATAGCGAATTATATATTTTACAGAAAATTATAAAATATTGATAAGGACATCAGAAAATATCTTTTAAAGACATTGTGGGATGGATAATATGAAGATTAATTTTTAATATAATTTTTTATTTAAAATAAATAGATGGCGTTAAATAATTAAATGTAAATTGTTGCTATAGTTATTATCAAGAGCAATGATTAGTAAAATTTGTTAAAATGTTAACTGTAATATATTCTCTAACTGTCAAATATGTCAAGTGGAATTTTATCTAGTATTTTGTAACGAATTCTATATAATAGAGGAATATCAACTATATGTCTATACTTTTTATAAATAAATTTTTTATAATTGTTTGGAATAAATTAATACCATGCTTTTATATTAATGTATATATTTATAATATTTTATATAAACTAATAAAAATATATTTCATATTTGTTACAGGTTTATTTTTTTTTATTAAAATTAACCTCCTATCTTGTAAAAATATTTTATAAAATGGGGTCTGGGGGCGAAGCCCCCAGTAATTTTTTTATTCCCCCCCCCCCCTTAGAAAAATCCTGGTTACGCCTATGTTCCAATGAATTTATTTATAGAAAATTACATCTCAAACACTCTCAAACTTCTGAAGAAAGAAAGGAGTTTTATTTGTTAGGTTAAAGTTCAGAATCTTTCTTGGCGCAGACCATCGTTTTTTTTGATAAAGAAATAATATAAAAATTTTCTTATATTATATATTATTTTTTTGTAAAGATCGTAGCGTTTTCTTTTTGATATTTGATTAATTTTTATAATAAAATCAATCAATTCTTAAAATTCATTTATGATTTTTGGCAATTTCTAATGGATTTGTGAAAATTGATAATTTTAAAATATTTAAAAAAGTAATATCATATTTTTCAGGAATTCTTGACTTCCTTCGTGTATTTCGAAATATATTTCGAATACGCATTCAGATAAATTGTAATGAAATTATATATTAAATTCATATACTCTATATCTTTTCAACAGGAAAATAAATAATAAATTTATTGTCCAACGAACTATAAACAATTTTATTTAATTTTGTAATTATTTATCAGATTTCTAATTAATTCCAATTATTGGTATAAAAGTTGAAGACATAGATTTATTCAAATCATAGAATATGCTACTCAACAAGCCACCCAAAAATTGATACCAAAAATGGGGTGCCAGATTGATTTTCCTTTAGCATAATTTTGTGAAAATAATATGTTGTAATATGTAAATTTTAGATTAGTTAAATTTGTACTTTATATTTAATTTGCATAAAGAATTCTTTTGGATTTATTATTATAACGCGTGATAAAAATATTATATTTGAATAGTTATTAATATTAGTTATAAAGAAGATTAAAAAAAGTATAAAAAGGCCAATTTTTACCATACAAAAGAATCTTTTATAATTATTAACTTTTTTGTATTTTATATTTTTTTTATTTTTTATTATTTTTACTTTTATAATTTTGTTAATTTGATAATGTTATAATTTTGAATAAAGAGATAAATTGATTTCATGATTTCGTGATTCCTAATTATTATTAATTTCTTTTTTATATATATATTTCTTTTTATATTTAGGTTTTGATTCACAACGACAAATCACCTCTTGTGACAATGGTGTTGGAGAAAGGAGGCGACAGGGCCATTACAACTTTCAGTCTAATGCAAATCAATAAATACGGTGGGACAAGGAGATGTGTCAAACTGTATTATAACAAAAAAAAAATTTCAGAAGAACGTAAGAAAAATATATAAATAAAAGTGAAAAAGAAAAATTATTTTGATAAGATTATGTTTATGTAAAATATAAAGTCTAAAATTAAAGACAAAGGTAACATTCATAGTAGATAAGATATAATTGTGTTTAGTTATTTAAAGGTGATAATTAGGAATGTTATATTTAGAAGTTACTGGTAAACTAAAAACCATTAGAATTTTGAAACTAATAGAGACTATGATATTTTAGATTTTAGAATTATTATTAATTGATCACTAGAAATAATTATGACAAAGAAAAAGAAACATAAATTGCGAAAGTTAATATTAAACTAAGAGTTTGCTAAGATATAATAATTAAAAAATTCCGTGAATAAGATTAGAATATAACTTTATTGTTAGAAAATAGTTGATTAAATTCTTATTGAAGATTTACGTTTAACTTTTATTTTAAGGGCTGCGAGAGATAAAACAGCCTTAAGGATTAATGTGAATGTAGTATATCAGGTTGTAGATTAACCAAAAATCTTCATAAAGAGAAACGGCTTTCGTCATTAGAAAATTTATGCCGCAATCGAGCTCAATTAGAGATCGGATTTTTATTTTTTTGAATCATAAAAAAGATTTGAGATCAATTATGCAACATTATTCTAATAATAGTAGAAAGAAAAACATGCTTTAGAAATATATGTCCTTGTTTTTCAACAACGTGTGTTGTAAACTTTAATGATTAGATTTCATAAGTTCTTCAAAGACATGGGATGAAAACCATAGTGATTAGAGTTAAAGGGTTGTTTATAAACGTTAGTATGAAAACTTTTATGATTAGATGTCATTGATTTCTCAACAACGTATGTATGGAAAGAGATTTATATATTTCAGCAGTTTTTTTAAAGACTTGAGTGTCAAAGTGTACTTGAGGAAATAAATACACAATGATAATTTAAAAAAAAAAAGGATTTTGATATATATTTTAGAATAGGATTTTTAGATATAAATTTAGTATAGACATGGCTGAAAAGAAGATGAGGATCAATAGCTAAAGGATGAGTACAAGTAAATTTTTCAATGAAAATATGAGTCTAGGCTTCTTAAGGGGAGAGGGGTGATAGAATTTGATATATTTATATAATTTATTATAGATATTTTTGCTACGTATTATAAATTTAAGATTTAGTATAATTTACGCCATTTATTAAAGGCAGAATTAGTTTAGAGGAGATAAATGTAGACATTAGGATAAAGTTGGTATATTTATATATTTTATTAGTATATTTGAATTAGATAGTTTATTTTGGAGAATAAATATAAAAAGTGATAAAATATTTCAGAAGTTATTTAAATAGATTATTTTAGGTAGAAGTAGATTAGATGTGATTACCTGAAACCTTAAGATAAAGTCGATATCTCAGCAAGGGCAGACTGTCGTAGAAGACCCGGAAGTTTAAAAGATAGATACGATTACAAGAATTAGAGGCAACAACCAATCGAATATAAAAAGTAGAAAACAAGCGAATTGATAAAAAGTATGGTCAAGACGTAATGCTTCAATCGTTAATCGCTGACAAATAATAGCCAATTATTACCGAGACTTTATTCTAAGATACGGAAATCGACAATCATAGGAACAAGAATTCGTGAAAACCATCGGTTATCGCAGACCAATCAATTGTTTATCGAGATAAAGAGCTAAACGTGGATTACAAGAGAATGATAGAAAACAAGCTACGATAAATTGTAAAAAAAATTAAGACAGACTATAAAAAACAAAAGTGGAATAAGAAACTGGATGTCATCGATAATCGTTCATCAAGTATGGATCGTGGAAAACAGGCGTTTATCAAGTTCGTTAGTCGTCTACAGAGATAAAAAGCTGATCGTTTCCCAGGGTGACAAGCGACAGAAAATTCAAAAATTTCAAGCGATGATCGAATACAGACGGTCGTTCGAAACCAAGAATACTAGACAAAAGTCAGCCTTCGTTAGAACTTAGAAGACAGCAAAGATTAAGAAAAATAGATATGGTGTATATACGAGGTCAGTAGTCGAAATCGAAAGAAGATTGATTATTCGCAGAATGTTGGATTTAAGTGGGGAGGTGTTGTAATATGTAAATTTTAGATTAGTTAAATTTGTACTTTATATTTAATTTGCATAAAGAATTCTTTTGGATTTATTATTATAACGCGTGATAAAAATATTATATTTGAATAGTTATGAATATTAGTTATAAAGAAGATTGAAAAAAGTATAAAAAGGCCAATTTTTCCCATACAAAAGAATCTTTTATAATTATTAACTTTTTTGTATTTTGTATTTTTATTTTTTATTATTTTTACTTTTACTTTTATAATTTTGTTAATTTGATAATGTTATAATTTTGAATAAAGAGGTAAATTGATTTCATGATTTCGTGATTCCTAATTATTATTAATTTCTTTTTTATATATATTTCTTTTTATATTTAAGTTTTGATTCACAATGACAAATCTCCTCGTTGTGACATAATATTATTTATAAATATTTTATTTTAAGCATAAATTTTTAAGTTTTTAAATAAAAAATAATCATATAAAATATATTGTTATTTTAACTAAGTATTATTGTATTCTATTTCCATTTTTTAAAATGTTCAGGTGAGCATTTCCAAAAATATATATTTATTGCATTTCAAATAAGAGATCACAATGAAATAATGCAAATAGGATTAGCAATTTTATTTTAACATTTTCATTCTGGATGAATAAGATTATAATACTGAAAAATTGATTTATTAAAAAAAGCATTTTTCAAATAACAATTTTTAACCCCAATAAATATGTACGCACATCTAATCTGATAAACGTTTATTAACAATATTTATTAACTTACCAATAAATTTAATAAATAACACCCAAAATATTAAAAGATTTAATAATTTAACCAACAAATTTAATAAATAAGACAAAATATTTAAAGGTTTATTATTTTTATTTAGGTTATTAATAAGATAAATTTAATTTATTTAAAAATGATGCAAAATAATTTACTTTTATAAGTTATCGATAGCCAATAAATCAATTTAGATTTTTCTCCTAATAAATTATCCCCCTGTCAAGACCCACTTTACACGTCAATTTTCCCTTTACTAATCAATTCGAAATTATTGTTACTAATACGATGCTTAAAGCATGGCATATTATTGCAAGTAAACATGCTTTACTTAATTCGCAACACTTATATAAGTTTATTATATATAGTAGAACTTGTCATTTATCACTATTTTTTAGACCATTCGTTTTATTTCAAAGATTTGAATCTAATGATATTTTGGCGGTATCATTATATATCTTATTTAAAATTATCAATTGTGTTAGAGTGCTCAACAATCATTTATACCCAAATCTAATATTGAGAATACAGAATTCTATAAAAATCATGTTATATTGAAAGATGAGGCGGAATCTATCAATCATAAAATTGTTTCAGAATTTGAGGCTGAACAGCCGGGATTAATTGATGCTAATAATCATAATATAATTGATTATATTAATTTAGAGCCTTCTCTAAATGCTCTAGGGGAACCCTCTTTACAGAGTTATGGTTTAGGGAGTATGTACCCACCAGGATTATTACAGCAAGCATTGGAATATTTGCATGCCAATTTGGAACTTCCATGGTGGGCTGCTATTGTAACAAGTAATTTAACTTAAATATTTTTGTATTTCTATTTATCTGCTTTGTTCTATAATTCTCAACATTATAAATATCTATTACTTAAATTTGGAGGGGGTTGGGCATAAAATTATATTTTTACCAAATTATGAAATGGTTCATGACCTGCCCTTGTGGTAACAAATGCCAAATATGCAAGACTCATTCCTATGCTACTTTTTTTCTCAAGGATGACAACAAACCTTATAACTGGTATATTATATAAAGGGTTAAACTAGAACCTGCTCATGTGACGGTATAAATTTGTAAAAAATAAATGCAAGGTACAAGAAAAAATAAGGATAATTAAATAAACAGATACACTTTACTCTCACTAGATTTATGTTTTAAGTTATTTCATAAATGGTTTAATTACATAATATTATTATTAAGTTAAAAGCTTTGGTTTGAATGTTAATCAAAGATTAATTTCCTCGTAGATATGCATTAGCAGATATTGGTGAGATGGTCATAAATTTCTAAGAAATTAATGAAATCTTTCTGATTTTTCACAATTGAGATATTTTCCAGATTATTTCTATATCTGCTAATAATTTAATGTTCCTTCCATGCCAGCTGTTTATGTATTGAACATAGATATTTCTTATTTCTTCTATTATCTGATATATGTTTGTAATTTAACATGAATTATTGAATTCCTTTGAGTTTGCCAAATTATATGTCCAAGTTATTTAACTTGTTGATAAATGGGGGGGGGGGTGTTAAATTATGACTTAAAAATAATATAAATTAAATCATTATTATTTTGAATTAAGAAAATAACTATTGTAATGTTAATTTTTTTATTCAAAATGATAAAAAATTGTTCAATTGATAATGTTCATTTATGATTCAAACATGAAAAACGAATATTAAAATAATCTATACATTTTCAGATATAACATCCTTCTCCTGCAGAAAATCTTTCTGATGGTCTTCAGATTCTCACCGGGTAACATGAAGAATTTTCTTTTAGTTCAGAATGATGTTCATCAATTGTAGGCAATTGATTTTCTGTAGGAAGCTCAACACACTTTTCCCTTATTTTTTCCTGGTTAGTTTAATTGTAAGTGATTTAATATTTTTTCTATCCCTCAAAACCATTATACAAGTTATTTTGTTGGACTCACATGTTCTATAATTTTTCAAAATATCCAACTATGTTGTTTCTTTGGTCTCAAAAATTCTTTATCCATACATTATCATTATCTTGAAACGTTTTTAGTTCCTCAATTCTAAGTTATTTTTAAACACTTCAAGTGTTGGTCCTAAAAACTTCCATTTTAATTGCTGCGTGTAGAACATAGTGATACACGGATAGAAATTCTTTTATATTGTTTTTGAATTCTTTTGCATATCATTTTTAAACGTTTATATTAATCTCCCAACTTCCCCATTGGAACGTGTATTATGTTGTAACTTTTGCACCAATTTAAAAATTCGGTAACAGATTAAATCATGGGGAAATTTTCATATATTATATTTTATTTATTTTTTTTTAATATTTTTTTTTTATTTATTTTTTTAAAAATTTTTTATTTATTATTTTTTTTTAAATTTAAAAAAAATCTTAAGTATATTTAAGAATTTAGAAAAAAAGAGTATATTTAAGAATTTAGAAAAAAAGAGTATATTTAAGAATTTAGAAAAAAAAGTATATTTAAGAATTTAGAAAAACAGAGTATATTTAAGAATTTAATAAAAATAGGTATACTAAATAATTAATCAATTTGTGTGAATAAACATAACATATATACAATGATAATATAGATATATATATTTTTAAGGAAAAACAAAAAAAAATCTTAAGTATATTTAAGAATTTAGAAAAAAAGAGTATATTTAATAATTTAGAAAAAAGAGTATATTTAAGAATTTAGGAAAAAAGAGTATATTTAAGAATTTAGAAAAAAAAGTATATTTAAGAATTTAGAAAAACAGAGTATATTTAAGAATTTAATAAAAATAGGTATACTAAATAATTAATCAATTTATTTGAATAAACATAACATATATACAATGATAATATAGATATATATATATTTTTAAGGAAAAACAAAAATAGTTCTATATAAATTTATATCATTTAAAAATTGTATCAAAAAATTTCCTTCAAAATCCACACGATATTTATTTATCAAAAAAAAAATCTAAAAATACGCCAATTGAAAGAAAAAGGTAACATTCAAAAATTTCTACCAAAATCCAGACAATCTAAAAAAAATCAATAAAAAATTTAAAAAAAAATAAATAAAAAAAAAATATTAAAAAAAAATAATATATGAAAATTTCCCCATGATTTAATCTGTTACCAAAAATTCCATTTCTTGAAAAGGAGGCCCGTTATCTGTGACCATATTACGAGGATAGCCAAAACCAGCAAATATTTTTTTAAGATATTTGCAACTCCATTAGCATTTTAAGCCGAAATTGGTTCTATTTCTGCCCATTGAGAGAAACTGTCTGTAAGGAGTAACCAAAATTGTTCCTTTATTGGTCCCGCGAAATTGATATATACCCTGACAAAAGGCTGGTTGGAAGTAATTTTGTATTTTGTTGACACGGTATAATTACGACTATATTCTAAAATATCATTTTTATATTGGGCCACCATATCTTGGTAAAAAATTATCTGTCGTTTCCACCAAAGTAGGATATCCGTTGAAGATATTCTCTTCCTCAAGTGAGCTCTTTAAGTATATGAAGCCATTAATAATAAATTTAAAATTTAAATAATTGTTTATTAATTGTAAACTAAACAGTAAGCCTAAAATCTTGTTAAATTATACAAATCAAACTCTTTACATTAAAATTGAAATATTGATATGTCATTAGGTAAGTTGCTCTCCTATGTAACACCCCATCCTCCCATCTGTTGTGGTTTAATTTTTACAAGAAATTTATTTTAAACATTGCATTTAGTAAGTAACAAATAATTATCATTACATTTATAATTTAATACCATTTAATTGTCTTCTCTTTGCTTTTGGGGAAACTGTTCAATCAGATTTTCATCCATTTCAACATATTTTCAATGTTTTTTTATTTCATTAAATGACAATATCCTCAGTTGTCGGAACTTTTGTATTAAAAATGTTAAAATTTTAAGGAGCATATGAATTTAAAATTTTTTAATTATAAAATTTTTAGCTCTTTATTAAATCTATTTTTTTTCGCAGTTTGTTTTTCTCTTCATTATATCCGTATTTGTTTGATTGTGCCTATGGAGAATATGATTATATTACCTAATTTTTTTATAAATAAAGAAAAAAACATGCATAAAAATATTAATTTTTATACCATTAAAGAACGTTATGTAGTGTAGACCTGTAATCATCCTCAAGAGCATTAGTTGCATCTTTATATGACTCCATATAATCATTAGTGTTTTTAAACCTTCCTTTTCCATTGATTCCATTTTTTCAATCTTTCATGAGATTGTTAACAAAATAATCTCATCATACATTATATAAATGCTTTGTATTCCATCTTATATCGATATTTTGTTATGGCATCTTGCTAAGATGTTTTACATTGCCACTTTGTTTAAAATAAGTTGCCAACGATTTTGCAGTTGCCAAAATATTATTACTCAGGGTCATTTTCCAAAATAAAAGTTGGCTGGAATGCATTTCGAAGTATTATGTTCAACATATATGCTGAATAATTTATCCTATTAAATCTAATATTTGAAAAAAATATAAAGAAATTATATATCTCTAAATATGAATATTTTTTATTTAACAGTATATCGATTCAGAATCTCTCAAAAATAAATATCTAATACATCTTCCTAATTGATGTATTTTATAAAATTTAATAAAAAATTTACCCTTCCAGCTCTTTTTTAATATTTGCTCCTTAGTCCATTACAAAGATACGCTTGGAAAAATATTCTTGAAAAACATATAAAAATTTTTTTTTAACAATTCTTTATGGCTCGAAAATTTTTTTCCTCTTGAAATTATGAAATATGGATAACTTTTTTTCTAATATTTATGATGTAATCGGTTTTGGTAAAATCCTCACACCACATATCAGTATTACATGAGCAAATAGAATTTTTAATCATTTCACCAAGTTTCTGAAATAATTATTTTTTTAAGATCATACAAGTCTGCTAATTGTTGTGGAACATGAAATATATTTTTCAACATCCAATTTTCCATATGTGGTACCTATGTCCACAATTTTTTTTTAAAAGGTTTATAAACCCAGATCCTGGCTTGAAATGGCCTAAAAAAGATTAAAGAATAATAATATAATATAAATTAAAATGTCTAATGTCTCTCTTCTCCCAATATTGAACAAAATTGGAGATTAGACCCGATTTTATAGTTTTGTTTAATTGAGAATTTTCCTTTTTAAAATAGGTTCTTTTTTTAATTATTATCCATCTATTTACGTTCACTCATATTTAATAATATTAACATTAAAGATTCCAAAATCAGTTTATTATCATTGGTTCATATTTATACAATCATAATTTTAAAAAAAGTATAATATATTTACTCATATTTACGTATTAACATTAGACCTGTGCGCCGCTGGTATTTTTTATTCACGCCGGAAAAGCCGCCGATTGAGATCAGCGGCGCGAGCCAGCTCGCCGCCAATTTTTATTATGGCGGCGGCGCGGCGTGTGTAATTTTTAGAAAGCATATTAATTATATTTATATATTAAATTATTATTATTTTAATTTCAATACTAACATTAAATCTAATTTATAATTTGTTTCATTCCAGCCCTTATTATTTTGATGTTTTTTAAATTTCTTTTTAAAGTATTATTTAATATATAATTTTTTAAATCTTTATTTTAGAAAGTTAAAACTAAATCAAATTTATAATTTGTTTCATTTCAGCTCTAATTATTTTGTTTTAAATATCTTTTAATTTATAAACTTAATATACAATTTATTAAATTAATTATGTAAAGCTTTATTTTGAAAGTTAAAACTATATCTAATTTAAAATTTGTTTCA